CCTCCGTAGAGATGCTCTCAACCTAAATAAAAGCATTTACTGTACAGAATATGAACTCATTCAGAGTGAATTCAACGAAGGCGACGAACTAGAACCGCTACCTGGCTGATTTCTGGCTCTGAAGGAATCAAAACTGCATCACCGGGATACCGTGAACTGCCGGCTACGCGTGAAATGGATCGCACATTGGCTTTGAGAATCCGACGCAGCCACATCTAAACTTGCGTATATCAACAAAATTGGCATTGTTCTCGAGGAAGCCTTTCAATACATTGAAATTTGTTTCGCCCGTCAAACCAGAAATAAGTTTCCTCAATTCGACTGATCAACACGTATTTGATTCTTTCCCTTTATTCGTCTCCTGCTCGATGTTGAGTATAAACGTGGCCCAATATAATCTAAGTTAACACGTTGACGACAACGCGCGTTCTAGTTATCTTAGCAAAGTGGAACAGGAGCGATTTTGCGAGCGCGGCCGCCTCACCTCACAGCTACAAATGTTGAGTGATAACTATGCAAAACATGAACGGCACAAAACCAAAACGAGAGAATGGGATGGCTTTGGGTGGGACGCGCAAACACGTCACGCTGTCGCCAATGGGTTAAGCTGTTTAAGACCGGTTTAAAATTGCAGTTACTTACATTGTTACAACCAAATCGCTTTCAATCTGAATCACTGCAGCTGACCGGACGCGTTTTCCTTTGATCTTTGAACGAAGAACCTTGGAGGTTCCCTCAAGCCTTCATAATTTTGCCGTTTCTGAAAGCAGTGAACATCACTAGGTATTCGACTGAAGGCCAATCATGCACTAAAAACATAAGCGCATGAGTTATGGAAAGCTCCAAACCCAACAAAACTACACTTCCGGAAAAAAGCAATTCGCAGTACGAATGCAAATCATGACTATAATGGGAGAGAAGATTTGAAGCGGAAACATCACTTCACAAAAGAAATTCAAATAGATTGAAAGAATGGAAAATTCACAACAAAAAGAACCACAACGAACAAAAATTCGGTGTCAATGACTCTTTCTTCGGGTCCTTTCCAGTTAGGGGGGGGGCATGCGGTTTAAAGCAACCAACAAGTTCGAAACCACGGATAGCATATCCTAAGTATAAGGTTTAGAACTAAGCCTCAGAAGGGACGGAAAACTCCGGATTATTGAGCAATCTTCGCTTTC